GAAGCCTAGCCTCACAGTGACACAGTGTCCCACTGCCACATTCTAGGTCAGTGCAAGGGATGCTCTTGAAGAAGGTAAATAGCCCCTGCTTCTTGACACAGGAACTGCAGAGTGACACGGCCTAAAGCACGGGCATGGGGAGACATAAAGATGGGGACCTGTTTCTGCAATCCATCCATGGACGGTCATGCAAGATTACCCTGAGAATATATGACTTAATTGATGTTTTAAAGGAGAGAAGAAATGAGCCATAGGAATAATTCCAGGAAACAGGGTCCTAGTTTGAGGAAACAGCACATTTCTGAGGCAGATCTGTGATCACATGTAGAAAAAGAAGGAAGGCAAGGTTGCTAAAATGGAGCGTGCAAGGGGGACAGCAGGGGAAGTAAGATCAAAGGCCATGCTGTGTAGGACTCTGTGGGCCTCTCCTAGGACTGGGGTTTGTTTTGAAGGATGTGGTCAGTGGGAGAGCTCTGAATAGGGAAGAGGGAGCAGGAGGTCTGGCCCTGAGGGGACTCTCCACCTGGGGACTTTGTGTCATCTGGACACAGGAGCAGGAGACTACTTGCTGCCTGCCACCCTCCTGAAGGGCTCAGACCCTGTCCCTAGAAGGGACTAGTTTGTCTGCCTATGACCACAGGATGGCCTGTGGCAGACAGCGGGAAGGTTGGTGCGAATCCCCAGAAGCTTGAGGCAGGGCCGGTGGAGTCGGGTTGTGGTCGCACCTGGTGATGTTTTGGCGGGAGCTTGCCCCTGAGGATATGCCCGGGGTCACAGATGTGGTAGGTGTGACCCTCCACAGCCTGTAGACAGACGTCTGGTCTGAGGGGGGCAGCTCCTGTGCTTATAAGCCCAGGCCCCTGTGAGGTGCAGGCAGCTCTCCTGCAAGGACCCAAAGAAGTTCTGGGAGGCTTAGGTTGGCCGAGGGTCCCTGCACACGCGCAAGCTGGGGCCCTTCATCACAGATGCTCCTTTCCACAGGGACGAGTCAGGGGATGTGGGGCTGTGAATCAGGAACAGAACATAGGACTTTTTCTCTCAACTTATCCTCACTGGGTTCAGCTCTTGGTTGTTTAAGTGTTCATTAAACCAGCCTGATCATGAGAATCAGACAAAGGTTTTTCACTCTCCCTGATGGTGCCCATTTGGCCCGAAGCGGCCATTTCTCCTGCCCTTTGGATGAAAGCTCACACAAATCCTTTATCCTTTCTAGTAATTCTTAAATAATAGTGTCATGACATTTCTTGTCACAAAGGTTTCCTTGGGTGCCTGGCAATGCGGGCCCTCTGAGGAGGTGAGCACCTCACTGTCCTCTGTCCCCACCTGCGGTCCACGGAGAGCTGTTGCCTGAGGAGGGAGAAGAGTTGGGTGGCACCAGCTCTCCATCCCTGTCTGCACCCCAGTATCTCTGACTTTTCCAGGTCTATGGTCAGCGCTCCCTGCTCCCAGGCAGGGGTTGCTGTAACTTCATCAAGACACCCACCTCTCAGGGCTGCACCCTCACCTCTCATAGCAGTGCCTCAGCCCAGCCTCACCTTCAGTTTCCTCAGGCAGGAAGTAAATGTTCAGTCCCCAAAAGTGCCCCCCATCCTTCTGGAGAAACATGATTCTGTCCAAGGCTTCCAGGACGGGGAAGGTGGAACTCATTAACAGCTCCTGAAAGTGCTTTTCCTAAATACTATTTGTGGACCACCATGTGGTGATTCTTTGTAAAAGAGTCAGTGTCAAAAAGTAGTTTTTAAAAAAGTGGGAGCATCTCCCATCTTGGAATCTCTTCCAGAAACAGGGTTGAGATGGTCCCAGTGTCCTGTCCCATGCCAGGTGCCAGGACGAGTATACTCAGTTTGGGGTCCATGTGGCAGCAGACCTTGAGTCGGTCTCACTCTCAGTCCCATGGAGAAGGGAAGCCTTGGGAAAAGGAAGTTGGTTCCCGAAGGGAGGCAGCCCTGGAGGTGAGGCTGTGTTGTCACCTCCTCTGCAGAAGAGACAGTGACCTCTGCCCCTCCCGAGCCCGGGGCTGACCCTCTCCCAGCTCTGTCCTCCCTCTTTTTGCTCCACTCACCAGCCCCTCCACATCTACCTCAAACGCATTGCATCTGCATCATGTCCTCAGATGCACTGGCATCTGCCTCCTGACTTCCTCTGCCTTTTAGTTCCTGTTTCTACTAGAATCTGACAAATGGTCTTCTAGATTTTATGGTTGTTCTATGTGAGGAAAGCCTGATTATTAGTTAATCTCCATTATTCCTGTTTGACATATGTTTATACTAGTCCATGTCCTAAGCCACTCCTAAATCCTTAGATGGGCTGGTTTGAATCAGGTGACACTCTCTTCCAGTGGAATATTTCCAATTGTTCAATGTTATTCCTAACTTGAGCCCTGTTTCTGGCCTGTGTTTGTGAATATCCCACCTCAACCACAAGGGAAATCAACCTCTGGACTTGTCATCTCAGTTTATCTAGTTCTTGTCTTTTTTAAGAACATTGAAACATATTTGACATATAACACTGCAGAAATTTAAAATGTACAATATGTTGACTTGATACATTTATATGTTGCAATATGATTAGCACCTGTAAGCTAAGACCAGTATCATGTTACAAAATGATCATTTCTTTTTTGTTGTGAAAACAATTTAAGATCTAGTCTCTTAGCATTTTTTAAGACAACACTATTTTTTATTATAATCTCGAAGGTATGCAATAGCTCCCCAGGGCTTATTTATCTAGTAGTTTCAAGGTTTTACCCTTAAAGTATTTATCCCCAGTTCCCCATCCCCACATCCTCTTGTAACTACCACTCCAGTCTTTGTTTTTATGAGTTCAGCTTCTTAAGATTCCACACATAGGTTAGATGCTGGAGTATTTGTCTTTGACTGTCTGACTAACCTCACTGAGCATAATGCCCTCAAGGTTCATCCATGTTGTTGCAAATGGCAGGATTTCTTTCTTAATCTCAGCTGAATAGTATTACATTGGGTATATATACCACAGTAGCTTTATTCATCCATCAATGGACACTTGGCTATTGTGAATAATGCTGCAATTAACATGGGAGTGCATATATCACTTTAAACTCTTGTTTGCATTTCCTTTGGAAATATGTGCTATAGTGAAATTACTGGATCATATGGTTGTTCTATTTGTAATTACTTATGCTGATACCTGCCTTTTCTGCTCCTTTATCTAACACCTAAGCCCCAGCCAAATGCTCTCTAGCATTCATTCTGTTTTCCTACTGTCATCAAATT